TAATATTATTGGCCCTTGGTGTGAGCAGGCCAACCTCTGCCCATGCCAGCTTACTGGAATGTGCTAGAAACCAGGTGTGTGAGTGTTGTGTTATCAGGCGGTAGCTAACAATGAATACTGGATAATTGGTTGTCTGCAGCTGCAGACATCCCGTCTATGTAGGCTATTACAGGACAAAGCAGACCTTGTGAAAATGCTAAACGGGCCAGGTGATCATCTCAAGTTGTAGGCCCCCTGCCTGTGCAAAATATTATATGACAAAGCAGAACTTGTAAAATGCTAAGCGGGCCTATGTGAAGATGCAAAACAGGTCATCTGGTTAATTAAAGGTGCAGAAATTATGTTTCCACAAAGTTCTAACAGACAGTTCCTACTCAGTAGTTCTTGACAATCAGTACAGCTGTAATGTATATAAGAAAGGAAAATAAAAGGTATAAAAAGTAACTAAAGCTTAGATTCAAATATTATAAGGACCTCTAGACTGAAAAACTCTTTCTTTCCAACTGCCATCAGACTCCTAAACAGCTAACTCAGGATCTACCTCATGTAATTCCCTCTGTACTGTTTACATGCTCATTTTGCACATGCACAATTGCACACTCACTGCTGAGTATTTACACTCTGTGGCTCCCACGTAGCATATGTTCTCTCTGCTTTATATTGTGTTCTTGTTGTATTTTTATTTGCTCCCTTCACTTGCTGCTTTAAAGTGCCTTAGATTTGTTATTGAACTGCCTATTTAGATTTCTGTTATTGCTCATCTACTTTATATTTCCATCCATCCATCCATTTTCCTCCGCTTATCCAGAACCGGGTCGCGGGGGCAGCAGTATAAGCAAAGATACCCAGACTTCCCTTTCTCCAGACACTTCCTCTAGCTCCTCCGGGGGAATGTCGAGGCATTCCCAGGCCAAGAGACATAGTCCCTCCAGCGTGTCCTGGGTCTTCCCCGGGACCTCCTCCCGGTGGGACATGCCTGGAACACCTCCCTAGGAAGGCGCCCAGGAGGCATCCGAAACAGATGCCTGAGCCACCTCAGCTGGCTCCTCTCGATGTAGAGGAGCAGTGGTTCTACTCTCCTTCTGGGTGACCGAGCTCCTCACCCTATCTCTGAGGGTGTGCCCGGCCACCCTGCGGAGGAAGCTCATTTTGGCGCCTGTATCCAGGATCTTGCCCTTTCGGTCTGTGGACTTCAATACTTGATGCAGCTTCATCACATCTTCTGTGAATGGGATCATTTCTTTTTTGTTCCATCTGTCCTCTTCTAAGTTTGTTCGTGCACGGCGTGACACAAAGAGGTCCCACTCTGCTGCCACTACGT